GGGTGTACACTTTGGCCGGCGAACGCGCCGCCAGGGGTGTATCCCACGAGCCCTCGACATATTTTCAGAGGGAAGGCATAGCAGGAGCCATCGGCTCAGCTGCCTTCCTCGGTCTAGAGTAGGGGCCGCCCTCCATCATGTCGACCTCCACAGGGGGGGGGAGCAGGGGGCAGCGCTATCTCTAGTCGGTTGGCGGCTTTCTCAATGAGTTCGGGAAAGTCCGCACGCAGAGAGGCCGCTGCGAAGGACAGGGCTGCTGACGTAACAGAGCCCGTGTCGTCATCGCACAAGGAGCCTTCAGATCTCACACTCCCCATAGGGAAGGGGGTCTTGAAGGTTGGCGCCAGAGGGTCGGATTGTTCCATTGGAACATCCATCTCTGCGTCTCTCTCCTTGTCATCCCCTGAGCCAGCACTGTCCGACGACGCCTCTGAAGCAGAGGCGAGAAGAGACAGTACATCCTCTAGGGGGATATCCTCCCTAAAAAACGCCCAACACTGCTTCCTCTCCTTCATAGGAAGGAGGGCGCAGGAGGCGCAATTAGGGAGATTGCCGGTCCCTTCCTTGGCATGCTGTGGCCCCAAACACACGAAACAAAGGTCGTGGGGGTCCGCAGATGCCATGGAGGAGCATCGGCACTGAGCCCTGAAAAGGGCTTTTGGGGGTGGAAATTCTCCTGGCGTGCTCATTTTAGAAGACACTCAGGAAGAAGGCGATTTCTTCCTGAGTGTTCTTACTTCTTGGCTTCTTCAGTCTAGTCGTCCAGTCGCTGAAGATAATGGGAGGCTGATTGAGGGGAAGCGTCCCCTCTTATAGGGACACCTGTGCTCCCATTGGCTGCAGGTGTGTGCATAATTTTGCTTCAGGCTGTTGCTGCCTTAGGGCAGAGGGTAAACCACTAAGAGCAGAGCTCCCCTATGGGGCGGAGCTCCACGATATAGAACACAAAGCGAATTTAACTTATTTTGAAAAACAGCCCGAATGTTAGAAACAAACATCTTTATGTTGTCATCCAGAGTCACATTCATTTTTTTCCATGCTATAGCACACAATATTTTACATACAGCAAACAGTTTGGTTGTAATTTTTGCCATGGAAAAAATATTGTCATACTGGTATCTTCCTGGCCCTAATCTGGGGCCCTATAAAATCTGTTTGATTTTTTGCCTGATTCCTTTAGATTTTTTCCAAAATTCCGTGTTGTTTTTCCTGGTTTCCGTTTTCCCTTTTTTGGTTTTCACTCTCAAAATCACACATTTTTAAAATAGAAAAACAACTCAATTGGATGTTCTAAGTCCACAACAATGCTTTAACCACCGGAGACCAATTTCTTACCCTTCAATTCCAGTGTGCATCTAGCAAGAGGTTGTTGTTTAACAGTGTTTTTGTAGCGCACGTGATGGTAGGGTTTGCAAAACAAATACCCACTGGATTGATGCAATACATGATATCATTCTGCCAGGTAAGCGTAGGCTACTTTGAAGAATATTTCATTTAGGTTTTTGGGAAAGCCTTTCCATCTACCCAGAATACATTAGCATAATCGCTAACGGCTACACAAAGTGGTAGACGTGCACACTGCACATACACAGACAGCGTTGCCTCTTCAGAAAGTTGCGGGAAATACAAATCACTGATGCATTCTGTTAATGTCTTATGATACATTTGGGCAAATTAATACATTTTCAATACATTTAGTTGATTCCCTACTAAGTTCAATACATTTTTGAATATTGTTGAATTCCGTTTTAATAACTGGATTCCGTGATTCCGTCTGAGTTCTCCACATTGCGAATTCTATAGGGCCTACATAACGAAATCATTGACTGAGCACAGAATGCATCCTTGTGCGTTCTACATAGAGAATATCAAACAGAGTTCAGAGTGTGATGTCATATCAGAATGAGCGCTTCATCCATTATCACGTGTGACAGCTGTGATAAACCAGCAACATCCCATACCAGCCATTACTCACCTGCTTCTCTCCGTCCGCTCTTTCTGCGCATCTCCATCACAGCTAAATTACATTTTAAAATTGATGTCGAGCGGTGGTGTGCAGACACTGAGTCTTCTGTTAAATTTATTGGAGCGACTGCGAGCGTCACAACGAAGTGGATACACTGTATCTTTTCATTTAGCCTGTTAGAACCAAACGCACAGGTCAGTCTGACTAGGCTTCGCTGTCACGCAGCTTCAGTGCCATAAAGGAAAAACAGAGCACAGTGACATGCTTGAGCCTTTACACCGCTGAAAACCGCGTCTAGCCCAAACCATTCAAAAGTTATGCCCCTATTACTGGAGCTACCCTTTCCCCTTTCTACCGCAATTCACGTGCATTTGATATATACTGAACAAAAATATGAATGCGTTGGTCCAATGTTTCATGAGGTGAAATTTCCCATACACACAAAAAACGTATTTCTCTCAAATGTTGTTTACATCCCTGTTAGTGAGCATTTCTCCTTTGCCAAGATCATCCATCTACCTGACAGGTGTGGCATATCAAGAAGCTGATTAAACAGCATGATCATTACACAGGTGCACCTTGTGCTAGGGACAATAAAAGTCACAAATGTGCAGTTTTGCCACACAACGCCACAAATGTGTCAAGTTTTGAGGGCGCGTGCAATTGGCATGCTGACTGCAGGAATGTCCACCAGAGCTGTTGCCAGAGAATTTAATTCTCTACCATAAGCCGCCTCCAACTTCGTTTTATAGAGAATTTGGCAGTACGTCCTACCGGCCTTACAATCGCAGACCGCGTGTATGGCGTCGTGTGGGCGAGCGGTTTGCTGATGTCAACGTTGTGAACAAAGTGCCCCATGGTGGCGGTGGGGTTATGGTATAGGCAGGCATAAGCTACGGACAACGGACACAATTGCAATTTATCAATGGTAATTTGAATGCACAGAGATACCGTGACAAGATCCTGAGGCCCATTGTCGTGCCATTCATCCGCCGCCATCACCTTATGTTTCAGCATAATAATGCACAGTCCCATGTTGCAAGTATCTGAACACAATTCCTGGAAGCTGTAAATGTCTGAGTTCTTCCATGGCCTGCATACTCACCAGACATGTCACCCACTGAGCATGTTTGGGATGCTCTGGATTGACGTGTACGACAGCGCGTTCCAGTTCCCGCGATATCCAGGAACTTGGCACAGCCATTGAAGAGGAGTGGGACAACATTCAACAGGCCACAATCAACAGCCTGATCAACTCTATGCAAACGAGATGTCGCACTGCATGAGGCAAATAATGGTCACACCAGATACTGACTGGTTTTCTGATCCACACCCCCTACTTTTTTTTTTAAAGGTATCTGTGACCAACAGATGCATATCTGTATTCCCAGTCATGTGAAATCAATAGATTAGGGCCTAATGAATTCATTTCAATTGACTGATTTCCTCATATGAACTGTAACTCAGTAAAAACAATGAAATTGTTGCATGTTGCGTTTATATTTTGTTCGGTATATTTACATCTGATGGCCGAAGTGACCCCCATCGCACAATCGTCAAAAGTAGGCAGACAGATGTAAACATGTTTTTGTCTCTCACAAGATATGTTTTAAGTTTTGAGCCATATCATGGACAGCACTCTCCTGTCTGGGTCTGGTGTTTTTGTACTGCATGTGGGGATGAGTCATGTGCACACTCTTTAAGAATGGCTTGGTACGCTACTTTGTTTCTAGAGATGCTAATATCTGTACCCCTGTTTTTTTGCAGGACAAGGATGCCAAGTTCCACCTGATTCTCACCGAGAGTAGGATCCACAGACTGGCCCGTTACTACAAGACCAAGAGAGTACTTGCTCCCAACTGGAAGTAGTATGTACTAGTACACACAATTACTGCTCTTTGTATGGCAAACATAGTATGCCGTACTTATTTAAGATCAAATTGCTTCATAACAAGTCCATTATATTACTGTACCAGACCTCTGTCTATGCCAATTAATTTGGTCGCTATGACTCCTGCACAATTCACTGTCCTGCTCTTTGTCCTGTAAGACCTGAGATATTTCTGTTGTGCCAGAGGAATGCTGGAGGTCAATTATCGGAGTGGCTGCACTGCCAACTCTGCCAGTCCTCTTCATACAGCACTGTATAATACACTCTAACCATGGTTTAGTTCCGGGTTGTCTGATCTTGGGTCAAATATAAATGATTAGAATGTGAGTCATTATTTAAAACAAAAATAAATGTTAAAGTGGGGTGCCCTGATTTGTGTTGGAAATTGAAATGCAAAGCAGTTCTTTGTATTCTCTTCATGGTTGGTTAGGTGGTTCACTCTTGGTTTGTGAGAGTAGTACGTTTTTTTGTCTCTAATAATTTCCTTTCTGTTTCTTCTACAGCGAGTCCTCGACAGCTTCTGCTTTGGTGGAATAATCCTCATCACGTTTTGGATAAATAAATCATTGGGATTTAAATGTTTATTTGGCTTGTATTTATTTAAGGAGGACATTTTTGAGAATAATTAGTATGTCTTTATGTAGCCGTCCCAATGAATTATATGTCGGCATAATATGGATATATAGTGGAAGCTTCTATTTTTGTTATTGTGTTGTCATACGTTTATTTTAGACTGAACTAAAGAGGCAACCCTTGGCTGGGGAACTTACCAGCACTTTCCATGCGTCACTGAAACACGTGAGTGCAGGGAGTGTTTACAATGAGGAGGAGGTACTTGGATGTGACTGACGCTTACTTTGTCCAATCACAGCATAATATGACGACACGGACTTGTTTATTTTAGGGTAGTGTCGTCGCAATCGTTCGACATTCACTCTACTACAACATCACAGCTTAAAATATACCGGCACTAGTCAACATTTGAGATATTTTATATAGGTAGAAAGTAATACTTAAGATGAAAATGAAGCCTTTTAATACAGTACGACAACTGACGACGGAGTGTAATCTAGTTGTTTTCGACGAGGAATATCAGAATACTTGAGGATAATTCTTCGAAACATAGACATGGTTCGAAGAAAAATGGCATCAAGTGGCATCAATTCTTCCACGACGGGTTCTCATCGAACTGCGATGGAGAGGTTTGGTGACGGTGGTATGGCTCTCCTACCGTGGACCATGCATACACTGACCGTACTGTGGGAACAACTACGGTTGTTGGTCCATGTCATTTACTACAGCTTCTTGACAGGTACAGTAACGTTCATTTGATACAGAAACCTCACTTCCTTTTGTATGTGTGGGAAATGTGGCCCTGGAAGCACGGATTGTAACTTGTTTTGTCCTGACACCGTAAAACAGGCGACAGTATCAATATGCCAAGTTAATTCATGTCCTTATTTTATAAAACATTTGACAGGGAGAAAGGGTAGGTAGGCTTGTTAAGTTCCAAATAACAATACCGGACATAGAACCACTGTTACCATATTTGGTATGACATGTCAACAATTATTTGTTTGCACATTGTTTAATCGATACAGTCTATGGTTTAATCAGGCAAAAAGAGGGGACCGTTTTGGCAAATTGGATATTGAGCCTAACCTATTGTTTTGTTCTTTTAACAGTTTTCCAGATGTTCCGGTTTGAAGTTCACCTAAGAATCACAGAAGAAACAGGTCAACACGTCCAGCACATGACCACAGCAGCAAACAGAGACGATTCCTTTTTCTTCTCATTGTTTGACAGCGACAAAAGCGTCACGCTTGCTGGCTCTAACCCCCTATCGAATTTCTGCGGGGATGTGGGCGATGTCTCCGGAAATTCCCACACAGGGGCCCTTCTGTCCAGCCTACAGGCTAAGGAGATGTGCTGCGGATTGGTGGATGACTTTGTGTCCCGTGCCAGGATGGATAGCGATGATGGACTTTGCCTTGGACACCACCCCAGCTGGAAACTGGGCTTTCCAGGTGACTGGAACCTGTTTGTGAGCAGCACTGTCAGCAGCTCCAGCTTACATGAAATGTGTCGCAAGAACAAGGAGAAAGCATTTGACTTCAAAACCAAACATGACACCACCGAAGATGATATGAGTGTTTACTGGGGTGAAGAGAATGACCGAAACATGGGAGAGTTTGACAGTGAGGACAACCCCTTCTCTGGCTCCCCCTGCATTTCAAGCTGCTCCAATATGGGGGAAACGAAAAATGAAGATCGTGTTGACGGCGGCCTCGAATGTAACTTATCCAGCCGGCCCGGTGAAGAACTTCAAGAGACCCTCGGTGGCTGGAACATCTGGAGCAGCCGTTCAGATAGCGAGAGCAGCTGGGGGAGTTCAGATGGTTCGTGCGCAGACCTGGACAAAGAGGAGAGCGAGAGGCTCTGGGAGCTCTTCACCAGCCCCACCGACCCATACAACCCCCTGTCCTTCACGGCATCTGTAGCCAGCTCAGTCCCTCACACAGACAAAGCACTTACACACTCCCAGGAGGCTGAAAGGGCCTCCGTCCTGACCTCATGTTCTTCTGACACAGTTGACAGCGAGACCCCTGGCCCTTCCTCCTCTGAGGATGACGCAGAGGAGCAGCTATGGAGATCCCTCTCCCAAAATGATGACCCTTACCACCCTCTGAACGTCCGTGCCTGCCTCCAGAGCTCCCCTACAACCACAGAGCCACCTGCCTTCAGCACTGGAGACCCACTCACCCCACAGAGCTGCCCCACACAGACGCCACCCGGCCAAGCTAAGCAGAGGGACGTTGTGGCCAAAAGCCTCCAAACAACCAGGCACACAAAGCCTTGTCTACCCAAGAGACAGCTGAAGCAGCATTGCCACCCAGCCACTACACTACTACCCTGGAGGAGACCTGAAGCTAAAGTAACTGGACAAGGACAACCTCAGGAGGAGAAGGTCAAACAACCTCTGAAAAAGGTTATTAGTTTTCCATGTTATACATCCCTCAGTCTATAGTTCTAGTTTTACTGCCTTAAAAATGATATGCGTATCACATCGCCCATATAAACATTCACAACCAAACATTATGTACTATTAATAGCTCAAATTTACATATTGGCTAAACATGAACAAACAAGACATCCAGTTCATACTACTTGAATATTAGGAACTGGAAATTAGTAAGGGGGAACCACTTATTTACTCAGAAATACTCCGTACTAACAACCAATGTATGTGATAAAAAAAGGTAATGGCTGATTCCACGCAAGCGGGAGCGAAAGTATTTGTGGGTATTCCAGATTGCTTTGGCAATTTTCACAGAAACTTAATTGGGCGAGAAGAGATGTTGGACATGCTTTTTACATTTGTATCACAAACCATACCCGTGAACCGACAACATCTTGGTGTCATTATACCCCTTATGGTGTGCTCTCAAATATGGATTATGTCTAGATTCTGAAATTAAACAAATTCACATTAATTTATTCAACATAAAAAATATAAATATCTCAACTACCCCGTTTGGGTTAGCTTATTTTTAGACAAATTGTTTGGAACAATATACTCTTTAAACATGTCAAATTTCCAGAGTGGGCTCTTTGGTACTTTTTAATGATAAAACCAATTTTATACATAGACATTTAAATTATAGGTAATTAACCAATCACAGCCCTCCTTTAGGATTGCACATTCAGCAAATCACCAGCAGAGGGAGTTTCCATTGAATCCATTTACCAGTCGCTGTGTTTGTTGGTGATACTTGTAAAATGTATCATAAATGTGATGTACTTGAAGAGTATATTGTTCCAAACAATGTCTTAAAATGAACAAAATAAAAAAGGGTAGTTTTGAGATTCATATGAATATTTTAAATGTTGAATAAATTAATGTCAACAATTGTATTTCAGAATCTACACATACTCCATAATTTAGAGCTCACTATAAGGAGTATAATGACACCAAGATGTTGTCTGTATCATGTACAGTTGACGGATCATAAGGTCTTACAGGAGGAATGTATAGGGGAGGGGGGGAAAAAAGCAGATTTTCTCATTGTTTGGGATACAAATGTAAAAAGCATATTAAACAGCCTTCCTCCCAATGAAGTTTCCATGTGAGAATTGCCAGAACAATCTGATACCAAAAATATATTTTCTGCTCCCGCTAGTGTGGAATCGCCCTAATGTAACTTGTAGTATAGTTGATGGTGAGGTCAGTCAATGACTCTTCTGCCTCATAAGCACGTAGGCCTTGTTTATTGTTGGTTAGCAACAACAGAGGTTGTAATGACTAACCCTGTCATGTGATACGAGAGTCACGAGAGTCAGCGGAGAGTTCACTTCCAGTTAATGTTGTGTGTCCGTCTGCCAACACTGCAGTCAAATGCGCTGAGTCAAATGCTCTTATCTGACACGTGTTTTCCTGTTTTGTGTATTTTAGGTTCGGTTCTCACCACTTGTCCAGGTCCATGTGATGCATACCTGGCCCTTTGCTCGGCAGATGTCTCGCAAAGGACCCTGGGAGGAGCTAGCCCGCGATAGAGACCGGTTCCGAAAGAGGATCCAGGAAACAGAGCAGGCTATTGGCTACTTCTTCAGTCAATCACACAGAGAGATGATTCGGGCAAATTTGCTAAGCACTTCAACATCAGCCATGCCCCTAGTCCATGAGCTCTGAACATAAATGTTTTACCATACCTACCTAATGAGAACTTTTGATTGGTTGCAATGCAACATATGGTTTTAGGTCAATTATAATGAAATATGGTGGTCCTAGGCCAATAGGATTTGGCATCAAATTCTACCTGCACTGTACCTCAACACTGTTGCTCTGATTTTTATATTGAATATAGTTATTAACCTAAACATTAATGTATGTAATGTTCTTTTGTATGCCTTTCTGACTGACCCAGCAATGCAATTTATTTATGTCCTATGTAGCTTGTTTAAAGTGTTTGAATTGTACCCGTTTTAAATGTTCATATTAATCCAGATAATTGGTGTATTTAGAACTAAAATAATGACTTAGCAGATGGTATTTGTGATCATACCATAGTTAATAAACAACCTGTTTGACACCATAACCATAAGGGCCTGTTATTCATCTTTAGATTCTGAATTTTCAAAAGCAGACACGTTAGATTAGGACTTTGAAAACCCATAACTAAACCTATACTTTTACATTTAAATAACTTGAATCAGGATAAAACTTCAGTTGGCGTGATTATTTTAGTGGGAAGTAAACTTTGACCGTCTTGTGTGCGGTCAACCAAACCTATATCTCTGTCACTGTAGCTACACAGAAGTCGGATCATGTCAATAACCTGAATGTATAATGATGTGGACTTTGTCACATCTATATTTAATGCCTTTTATGGGCACAGCCATTCCATGTAAAGGCAAAAGGCTTTCTGTCTCAGACCTATCATTGTAGTGACATGCTTACAAAGCAGGGAGGGTGTGGTCACCTGGGGAGTGTTCAGTGGAGTGAAAGTTCACAACGCTGCAGATAGAAATGTAATGTATAGAGCTGACCTGAGTCAGTGACAGCAAATCATGTTAGTAATAATCTCTACACAATACCAGGCTGTCTATTTTCTGTATAATCTTGCAGGAAAGTCCCTTTAACTTTAATATTCACCTTTTCTCCACATCATAAACCTACTTGCCTACCTATGCCCATTAGGCTGTGTTTACACAGGCAGCCCAATATTGAATTTATTTTCTACTAATTGGTCTTTTGACCAATCACATCAGATTTTTTTCAGAGCTGATCTGATTGGTCAAAAGACCAATTAGTGAAAAAAAGATCAGAATTGGGCTGCCTGTGTAAACACAGCCTAAGGGGCATAGGTGAAAATCGGTAGGCAACTAGGTTTATGATGTGGATTGTGGAGTATAAATGGCCTCCATCAGAGAGACTGTACTGCAAGGGTTGTATCAGACAAGGGTTAAAGACAATGGAAACCCATGAAATTACTTCTCTGGAGGAGAAATCAATTAGCATGTTCCCTTGACACACACACACACACGCTACATGAAAGCCATCTGCTGGATGGTGTAAAGGTGAGCAATCACTGACATGACTTTGCAACACTACCCAGCAGGTGACTCATGTTGTGTGGTCCTCTGTAGCTCAGCTGGTAGAGCACGGCGCTTGTAACGACAAGGTAGTGGGTTCGATCCCCGGGACCACCCATACACCAAAAAAAAATAACAAATGTATGCACGCATGACTGTAAGTCGCTTTGGATAAAAGCGTCTGCTAAATCTGCTATTATTGATGTGTTGCACTTAGGACCACACCACCACACCCAGTCTTACTGGCTTATTGATCCCCCGTTCTCAGATGCAGTTCTGCTGAGACGCTTTTAGGGAGAACACAGATCCATCAGATTAGAGGATAGGTTTAACTGGTATGTCACTAATGAATGGTGAATTCAATTCTACCCTACCTTAACTCAACTAATGATTTAAATTAGCCTTTTATCTGCTGCTGTGGGGAGGTGTTGTTTCCGGTAGCAGATGGTGATGAAAATGCACTACGTGGCCAAAATTATGTGGACACCTGCTCGTTGAACACCTCATTCCAAACTCATGGGCATTCATTTGGAGTTGGTACCCCTTTTGCTGCTATATAAGCCTCCACTCTCCTGGGAAGGCTTTCCACTAGATGTTGGAACATTGCTGCGGGGACTTGCTTCTATTCAGCCACAAGAGCATTAGTGAGGTTGGGCACTGATGTTGGGCGATTAGGCCTGGCTCGCAGTCGGCGTTACAATTCCTCCCAAAGGTGTTCGATGGGGCTGAGGTTAGAATCTGTGCAGGACAGTCAAGTTCTTCCACACCGATCTCGACAAACCATTTCTGTATGGACCTCGCTTTGTGCACGGGGGCATTGTCATCCTGGAACAGGAAAGGGCCTTCCCCAAACTGTTGCCACAAAGTTGGAAGCACAGAATCGTCTAGAATGTCATTGTATGCTGTAGCATTAATATTTCCCTTCACTGGAACTAAGGGGCCTAGCTCGAACCATAAAAAACAGCCCCAGACCATAATTCCTCCTCCACCAAACTTTTCAGTTGGCACTATGCATTCGGGCAGGTAGCGTTCTCCTGGTATCCGCCAAACTCAGATTTGTCCAAAGGACTGCCAGATAGTGAAGCGTGATTCATCATTCCATAGTACGCGTTTCCACTGCTCCAGAGTCTAATGGCGGCAAGCTTTACTCCACTCCAGCCGATGCTTGGCAATGTGCATGGTGATCTTAGACTTGTGTGCGGCTACTCGGCCATGGAAACCCATTTCATGAAGCTCCTGACGAACAGTTATTGTGCTGACGTTGCTTCCAGAGGGAGTTTGGAACTCTGTAGTGAGTGTTGCAATCGAGGACAGACGATTTTTACGCGCTACACGCTTCAGCACTCGGCGGTCCCGTTCTGTGAGCTTGTGTGGCCTACCACTTCACGGCTGAGCCGTTGTTGTTCCTAGACGTTTCTACTTCACAATAACAGCACTTACAGTTGACTGGGGCAGCTCTAGCAGGGCAGAAATTTTACGAACTGACTTGTTGGAAAGGTGGCATCCTATGTGGTGCCACATTGAAAGTCACTGAGCTCTGGGCCTCCCGAGTGGCGCAGCGGTCTAAGGCACTGCATCGCAGTACTAGAGGCGTCACTACAGACCCGGGTTTGATCCCAGACTGTGTCGCAGCCAGCCGCAACTGGGAGACCCATGAGGCGGCGCACAATTGGCCCAGCGTCGTCCGGGTTAGGGGAGGGTTTGGCCGGCCAGGATGTCCTTGTCCCATCACGCTCTTGCAACTCCTTGTGGCGGGCCGGGCGCATCCACGCTGACTTCGGTCGCCAGCTGTATGGTTTGTTTCCTCCAACACATTGGTGCGGCTGGCTTCCGGGTTAAGCGAGCAGTGTGTCAAGAAGCAGTGCAGCTTGGCAGGGTCGTGTTTTGGAGGATGCATGGCTCTCGACCTTCGCCTCTCCTGAGTCCGTATGGGAGTTGCAGCGATTGGACAAGAGTGTAACTACCAATTGGATATCATGAAAAAAGGGTAAAAAGTCATTTTAAAAAAGTCATTGAGCTCGTCAGTAAGGCCATTCTACTGCCAATGTTTGTCTATGGAGATTGCATGGCGGTGTGCTCAATTTTATACACCTGTCAGCAAAGGTGTGGCTGAAATAGCCGAATCCACTAATTTGAAGGGGTATGCACATACTTTTGTATATATAGTGTACCTCTTGCGCTTAGCGGAGCAGAGCTATTCTGAAGGAAGTTGTCAAGGAAGTGAGTTTGTGTTTATACAGGACGTACCGCCCCCACCTACCGTCAACCAATCATGTCAATGCGGAGCTATGCCCTCCGCATTGTTACAAAATTTGAGCAGCGCACGCCAATGCGGTAAAGAGCTTGATTTGGCCTCTGCATGGCTCCGGAGGCTCTGCAATTGCGTCACACCCTCCATACAAAGCTTCCGACCACATTTTCGGATTAAGCATACATTGGCTTTTACTGTATAATTTAGTTTGATCAACAAGTAATGTGTCTTTGTCAAATTTTAAGAGGAATTGAGTATATACAGTAGCTAGTCCACTAAAGTCTGCTTGCTTACAACTGGTCGTCATCTCTTCCACACAGTTTGCGCCAATCAGAGTATCACCACCCAGAGATCTCCACAGATGGATGAAGCCCACCTGCTTGATTTACCTAACTCGGTGGAGACCCTAGGAACCTCAAGAGTTAACCAATCCTGTGAACGGGTTAGGCAACTCAGTTGTCTAAACTTCAACAACAATGTTAGATAAGACGGAAGTTTATGAAGTAGGGCCTTGTAAACAAAAAGCGAGTAATGTAGAGATCTACGGGTCTTTAGCGAAGTCCAGCCAACCTTTGGATACAGGATGCAGTGATGAGTATCAAAACTGTCACCTGTAACAAAACGAAGGGCACTATGGTAGATTGCATCCAAAGGTTTAAGAGTAGTAGCAGCTGCACTTTGATAAATAATATCACTATAATCAAGAACAGATAAAAAGGTTGACTGAATAATCTGCTTCCTACTGCTTAGAGAAAGGCACGATCTGTTTCTGTAGAAAAAGCCAAGTTTAAATCTTAGCTTCTTAACCAGCTCATCTATATGTTTTTTAAACGTCAAATCGATATAAATCCAAATGCCTAAGTATTTATTTGCGGGAACACGTTCGATGGTATGTACCCATTGATTCTTGAAGAATATAACTTACAGTATACGGATGACTGTAGAAGCAGCTGCCCTGAGGACACATATCAAATACTCAGATGACACTGTTATTATTGATACATGGAATTCTAGGGTGGAGTCAGGGGTAGATGTACAGTGCCTTGCAAAAATATTCATCCCCCTTGGCGTTTTTCCTATTTTGTTGCATTACAACCTGTAATTTAAATGGATTTTTATTTGAATTTCATGTAATGGACATACACAAAATAGTCCAAATTGGTGAAGTGAAATGAAAAAAATAACTTGTTTCAAAAAATTCAAAAAATAAACAAAGAGACCAAAGATAACCCTGAAGGAGCTGCAAAGCTCCACAGCGGAGATTGGACTATCTGTCCATAGGGCCACTTTAAGCCGTACACTCCACAGAGCTGGGCTTTACGGAAGAGTGGGCAGGAAAAAGCCAT